TTTTAAATTAGTATTAAAGAAAAATTGTAATACTCTCGTCTTTTACGATGTTTAAATAATTGATTATTACTATTTCTTAGAGCTTGGATTGTTTGCTCTTCTTTATTTATTGATTCCGTTGTTCGCTCTTCTTCAATCGTTACTTGCATAGTTTACTATTTTTTATGGATATTACTAAAACGCACCTATGGTGTTTTACACCTATGCATGTATTATCTCAAAACTGGTAATTAATCGATGTGAGGTGTTCTAAATAAAAATGTTCTATTGCCCAAAAACCCTTCCCAAAAAAATTTGTGTTAAAAATTTTATATAAAAAAACTTATAAAAGCTTAGAAAAATTAATAAAAACATATAATAGGTGCAAAACACCATAGGTGCGTTTTATAATAATTGTTTTTTATTTATCAGTGTTGGTTGTGCTAATGTTGCATTGTTGTTCCGTTCGTTCTCTATCTTTTATTTACATTATTGGTTGGTGCTGATATGGGTGGTGAATCTCGTGCCTCCTTCAAGAGAATCAATTGTTGAAGTTTTATTTGACATCTCAAGAGAGAATTATTTTAAAACTAGTAATAAAACAGCGGCGTTTTATAGGGCTGGAGCATTATATATATTAGTTTATTACTGTGATTTTAAACTTCAATAAGAAAATGGTATGGTAAGTATAGTAACTTATATATTATAATATAATGAAAATTTGGCAGTTAATATACGAATAAATAGAATGTGTTAATTTACATACATTTCATAAAGTCATAAGGAATGTAATATCGGATAACTCGAGATATTATTATTGCTAATCTTTGTTATAAGCGTGTACTCTTTACGCGTCATTCTTTAATTTATGTATCGTTCGTAGATTAGAAAACAATATCTGATATATGTCACTTTGCAATTAAACTTATGACTAAAAATGTAAAACACATTAATGTCGTTTTGATCATTTTCATCGTTATTTTTATTAACATTTGAGTGCTACGTATGGTTGGTCAGTATTATACGTTATGAATTGACCGCTCTTCTTTAACATTATGGTTAAACATTCTTAATTATTGTAGGTTGGAAGTTCTTGATATTTCGCTTGGTGCCCATTTCCACTATAGATCGGATTTTTTAATATATTTTAACATTTACAATACACTGGCGATCATAAGTAGTGCAACAAAAAAAAAAATTTACTTAGATTCACGCAATTCCGGGCATATCGGGTAGTTTTTTTTTTTATTTTATTCACTAGCCACATGCTATGCTTATTAGCCACGCGCAAAATATTTTGATTCACTAACATGGCTCAGTCATTTCAAAGTCTTAGCTTTGACTTTAGGGGTTTCATCGCCAGTTTCGTCTTTCGCCATTTGCCACAAATAGTTTCGCCTACCATCTACGACACATGAGAAATCCGGTTGTATGTTTTGAATCATGAAAATCAGGACAATAATTACAACGGTGGAGGTTTTCTGAAGTTTTATTAGATGCATTTATTGGAACATCACACCTAATTGTGTTAAAAGAATTAGATTATGAATATGAAGTAAATTCAACTTACTAATTTTGTAGAATAATTTGCTTGTTGTGGGTGTAAGCTCATCCCTCGCTGTGATTTACTACTTGCTTGAGATCAATCCGGCACTATAAAATCCCAAGAGCAACGGTTTAACCATGCCATTAATTATTAAAATTTCTAGTTGCTGGTTGCCTATAAATAATTATTCTGCATCCATTAAAATGTTTTTTTCAAAATTCAAAGCTTTCTTGATGCTTCGAAGCAGATGGATAACATAATAATTTTCTCTTATATAGTTGTAATTGATTTGTAAAATTTTGGGTGAAATGATAATTGACAAACTACGCATAAGTTGCATAAGTTGGGCTTTCTTAAGTCCAACAATGATTTGGTGTAAAAAATTTCTTAAAGCAAACATGATTTTTTTTTTACATTGTTAGATTGATTTTTATTGATGTATTTCCATTCGTTGTATGTAAGATATCGAAGGGTTGAAGTTGTTTTATTACTGCGACAAGCAACCCTTTATACAGCTTTCACTAACGCTAAAAAAGATTACGCAAAAATTATTTAGCTCAAAAAAAAAAAAAAAGTAAAAAAGGAGAATAAAGTAAAAATTACCTATGTTTAATCAAAAGAAAAATCATTGCGTATTTAAAAGGCGTAGGGCTGAATTCTGAGTTTTCATTCGTACTTATATCTGTATATCTGTTTGAGTTTGGTCTAAATTACAATATATGCAATGTATCAGCTCTTGTAAGCAATCATACGCCCAACTAGAGGCACTAGCCGTAACTTGATTAAAAATGTGACAAATTGAAACTTTGCGAATATAACGTATAATTTAGTTTGCGTCGCAACTGATGTATATATGTCGTAACTTCATTATATGCTGTAACTTATGTCGTCACTAGTCGTACGTACACACGTACAAGATCTCTGTTGAATTTTATGTTTTCAGTATGCTATAAACTTCATTGATAGCTCTCTTGATCAAATTTATAGTGCTGTATATCATCGCTCTTGCAGTTTTATCTAATAAGGAAGTATAGTCAAAACAAGTTTGAGAAACAAAAAAATAGCAATGCAATGTAATGAACCTTGTCCAATTGTAATTTGCAGTTAGTAGATATTTCATCCCAAAAATTTGGATGTCAGGATTTCTTTTACGATGATTCTTATAATAGAGATCAATATAAGTAAATAAAAAATTAAAAGGATAATATAAAATATAAAATTAATCTGGTGATAGCTGAGCTGACCACAACAGAAACACAACGGAACACAGACCATAAGGTGTGCAAATGCATAAGTTAGGACTTATAACCTAATCTTATACGATGAAACGCAGATGGCTATCCTAGTCGCATTGAGAATGTAAAATCAGGTTGCTAACGACAGTATAAAGCTGTAATTTATTGCTGGGTCTCACGAAAGTAAGTGGAATAGTAGTTGAATTTCTTACTAGTCATGTTAGTCAAATTTTTTGCAAAGTTACGCGATTTACGCGTTTCTAACAGTCAAACGATTGCAGTCATATGATCGGAGTTTTGAAACCAGTTTTATGTTTCACGTGGTAAAGCCGATTAAATCGGGTTTATCAACGAATTCGACCCAGAACTCTAGATCTATGCGCTTAAATTGGAAGAAAAAAGTTATAAACTTAAATTTGCGTATTTTTTGGTATGAAATTTTTTTTTTTTTTGTACAAGGTTTGGATTGAAATTAAAATTTGCCAATACACGATTAGTTATATTTTAAGGGGCTTGTATTAAAGATGCCTGATACAAAATCGCAACTTTATGTTTCTTTAGAATTAGTTGCAACCTTTGCGAAGCATCTTTTTGATGAAAAAGATGTAAGATCGCAGAGTCACCAGGTCAAAGTCTATGTAACTATCGTTATTAATAAAATGAATATCAAAATTAATGTTATATAAAAAATCGCAAGTGTTGCAACCCTAGTTGCACTATAAAAAAGTCGCAATTAATATTTGCAACAAGCAGTACTAGTCGTACATATTAATGGTGACAACAAAACTATTTATGCAAAATTATTGGTTGGGCACTTTTACATAATGACTTTAACTTTATTGAAAAATTTATTAATTCTGCCTAGCATATCACGATTCTGATGGAACATTACTAGTTAAAAATTTTTGCATATGTAAGTCAGGGTTAGAGGCTATTGTTAACCAAAAATTCAACTTTTAATGCGTGGAAGGTTATCTCATAGACATAATGTTAATTTGCAAGAGAGTTACACATAAATTTAATATGCAAATTTATTTATTTATAAAAGAAAAAAGTTTACATCACAAAATTCTCGCATGATTAAAATTATTCAAATATCCAAATCAAATACTCTCTCGTATTTCATTCCATTATCTGGATTTATCGCAGTGACCTGAATTTCTGCCATACCAAAATTCATAATGTATAGGATCGCACGCTTTTCGGTTCCAGTAATAGGTACATTTATGTTGAATTTGTCAAGTAGTTCTACACCTTGACTATCGCAATATTTTGCATCATCGTCACGTGTGACAAATAAATCTAGACCCATCAAATGTTGTAAGATATGTGTCGTTGAAAAAATTCTTAAAACCCTTTCACCTACAGCCACTCTGTCCCCTCTTTTAGCTAATCTACTGAAGACTTTAATGTGGTCATCAATTTTTCGATCCAGAGGATCGCTTTGGTTCCATTTTCGTATAATATCAGTTCCTAAGTTTCACAATATGTAGTTAATTTAATTGCAATGATCACATAAAATACATTATTTACATAATCTAATTACCATAAGTCCATTTCAAAATACGATCCACAATGATTTTTTGGAAAGATCCATATTGGACAGCACCTTTGACTATCGCAAGCATAGGATTAGAAGGAACAGAAATATTTGGAACAATTTCGTTAAATTCATTTCTGATCCTTGATACCAAATATTTAGATTCACTGAATCCACCAACTAATAGCATAGTGGAACATGGAGAATCAAGAGCGTCAAGTCTTCCATGAATCAACTTGATAATTTTATCGATAACGGGGTCAAACATTCTTTTCACATCATCATATTTGATAGTTACTAATTCGTCATTTATGGCATTTTTCACATATTTCTTCATAGCTGGACATAACTCTGTATGCGTAGATGTTATAGAAAATATAAAATACATTACACCATGTGTATGAAAGCATAAAAAATAAAAACCTAAGGATAAAATTACCTTCTAAATCCAAGTCAAAATCGGTAAAGTCTTCAGGGTTTCCCGTAAATTTATGTTTAATTCGCTTACGAAATACATGAATCACATATTGAATTTGTCCATAATGAAATTCTTTTAAAACTTCAATTGTTGATTCACCAACTTTTTCTGCTAAGAATTTTAAAAATTCTTGGTCTACATAACTGCCTCCGCAATAATCCCCTTTACTCTCAATTTTTTCGCTTAATTTGCCGCCTACTAACAATTTCATTGTCGTTATATCAACTGTGCCACCGCCTGAATCTACAACCATGAAAGTATCTTGTATCGTACAGATTTAAAAGTATTAATGTATATCCTATCCTGTATATTGATACAGTATCCTGTACTGCTTTCAAACGAAAGTGACTTACATACCTCCAGTTGATAAATCATATTTGCCAGATGTCTTTAAGCAGTGCACTGCAGCTGCGTCAGCTATTGAAAACACAAGAAGATTGGAGTCAACTACACTGTGTGATGAAAAATAACAGAAAAAAAATCATAATAATAATAATAATAATAATGAAATATTTGAAATTTCCATACGTTCATGTACAAATAACAAGTTTGAACCATGGGAATTATGCCTTTGTTTCGTTAAGCCGGCTTTAACTGCACAATTACGCATAATAGATATAGCATCATTATCAAATTCTACAGGAACCTATCGTATGATATATATAGATCAGTTTTGTATTTTATATAAAAAAAAAGATTAAAAGATTACATATTTACGTACTGTCAAAACAAGGCGAACATTTTTAAAGTAGTCAATGTTTTGCCACCTGTTTAATCGATCCTTAAGCGCATCACCTATCTTACGTAAATAATCGGTTATAGCTTGTTTGTAATCAAGCCCGGGAAGGAGATAAGGCTTACTCTCCATGTCACTAATATTACCCAGATGAAGTTTAAATAATTCTACAGGTCTCATATCAGGTTTCATATTGGATATTTGATTAAAATTTTTTTTTCGACATGGATCTCTTCGATCTAGATCAATTAACGCGGGATATCCCCAATCTATAACATCAAAAGACTTGTTGTATTTGAGGACTGTTGGCATCTTTGGTGTACCATCGTACTCCTCCCATTCGATACAAGTTTCAATTTCTAAAGGATTACTTTTTAAATGGGCAAATGCATATCCCTATATTCAATTCGGTAATTATAAACTTGTGAATGTTGATATCATTTATGAAAAAAAAAAAATTATGATGCATGTACGAATAGGTTCTCACCGAATATGTGGTACCGAAGTCTGAAAAATAGGAACGAAATATATTACATCTAAAATTGTGATTTCAAGTTTAACAGTCATGACAATAATCGATTTGAATTTACCAATTGCGGCGACTACGCGTATGTCAGTTTCTTCTAAATCTTCTTCAATTTTGAGAGCAGCGTCAAATAATTTTTTGAATGGTAGATTTAACCTGTCAATTTCTTCTAGCATAGGGATATAATCATCATCGCTAAATTCAGACATATTGAAAGAATCGTGTCAAAGTGTTGATTTTGAATTGGTGAGATCATTTCTTTTTAAATCAATTTTAACTCAAAAAAAAAAAAAAAGATTCTCGAGTTTATTACATTTCACATAACATACAAATATCTTGAAGAGACTAACTTAAATAGTCAAATTAAGATGGAGGCAAAAATATTGACGCTTTCAATTGTAGGACAAATTTCATTTGAGTCTGTGCTTTATAGGAATACGAAGTTAGAATAACAATTTTGGATTCCGCAATTTCTTTAGAAGTTTTCGAGTATATTACATTAAATATATAAATTGACTACACTGAGTTTATTATATTATTTACAATAAAGGTATCGCTAGAATTTGTACATAAAAACTTGGTTTGTAAAAACAATTTTCTTTCATCGTTATTGAGAAATCAAGTATTAAAATGTTGTGGATTTTCAAGTTTATATTCCAACTTTTTTTCGATATTGCAAAATTCAGAGAAAGAAGCAAACAAATTGTGGATCTTAGAGCAGAGGTGCAGGGAAAGATTTCAATGATTAGGAAGTTGGAAGACGAGAATCAAAATTACTGTGAATTACTTATCAAGTTACAAAAAGATTTTGAAAGTTGCAAGCATCTATTGCAAAGGGAAAGGGAAGGCAAGATAATGTTGCAACATGATTTATCTATGCAAGACCAGCAAATCATTTTTCTTGAAAAGAAAAATACGGAATTAAAAGATGAAGCATCTAAATATCAACTAGCACTGGGTAATGCAACGAATTTTCGATTTAATGACGATGATCCAAATAACACTATGCGACTTAAGTCTGATATTGAAAGTCTTCAAAACATGATTGAAGATTATGTAACTCATTTGAAAACTGGTGTAGAAATAAATTTTGAAAATGTTAACAAACTTTTACAGAAATATGGATCTCAAACAACAATTAATTCTGATAATCCAAACAGGCGATTAATTAAAGCTGTCTTACAGCATCATGTCTTGAAAGAAATTTTATCATACACAGATGTGTGTCCTGAAAATCATTGTACGGAAACATGTACTCTCGAATCAAATATTATTCGTAAAACAGACGATTTAATTGGACTTATTAATAGATTTTCGGACGAACGTGTAGGAACAGATGATGTTACTAGGGTAGCATCTATAAAATTACGTCAACAAGTCTATGTTATACTCGGTAATCGTGGATATGCTAATGTATATGACAAGAATAAACAGCATCCATTTCTAACTATATATCAAAAAAGATTAAATTATTCAATGAACCAATATCGTACATTCAACGATCCTAAAAAGAAGACTATGGTTGAGAGAATGTCAGAGAAATTAATTCAAGAAGTAGTTAGAGTATTCAAGTTTCGTTTCAAAGTTCAGGAACCAATTGTTGAAATTAACTGGATGAATTATGGTACTGAAATAATGGAAGAGTATGTTGAAAAACATTATGAGAATTTTAAAGATGCATTAGTTGATGTCTGTTCTTTTCCTTTGATTGGAAGGAACTTATCAAACCAAGCTAAGCGAAAGATACTTATCCTTGCAAAGGTCGTTCCAATTTACGCAGGCTAAATTGATTTGCTATTTTTTTTCCTGTTACTATAAAGATACATATAGTTCTATGTTCATTGTATTTTGTATTTAAAATGCTTAAATTATACGTATATATGCAGTATTCTCACTATGCACTTATAAATCCAGATTAGCAGTTTTTGAAATGAATTAATTCTTGTGTTCTTGTCAATTTTCCGTTACAATTGATTAAGTCTATGAGTGATCCGGCTATAAAAAAAATAAAAATAGCTTTACACATAAGAAACGCTGATTTATCACTACTTTTGACAACCAAATAGTGCTAGATGTATATGAGTGAACTATATTATTTTAACTTTCTCTGATGTTTCAAGAATTTTTATTTATTTATTTATTTTTTAAATCCTTCTCAAGCTTTTTTGTAGTCTTTTTTAACAAAATCTGACACACGTTTATAATAATTATATGTGCTTTATATATATATATTATTAAAATTCCAATATGTAAATGCACAAACCCAACGGGACTCGTACTAATCATCTGTATTCTTATTTATCACGAAATGTCAACCTTATTAAACTTTCGATGGTAAATTTAAAATAATCTAATTCAGTTAGCATCAAAAGGATTTCTTTCTTTCAGACCATAATACTGAAGTATTCTTTCTTTCAAAACATTATAGGATTTTTATTAAAATTATTATTCAACCGATAGAAATAGGCAGGAACTAATCGAGCTATCAGTGCATATAATACGTATCTATCTCAAAATGAACACATTGCGAAACTAGTAGCGATATGTGGTACGTACTAAAAAAAACATATTTGCTTTTTACATTTATTTTCATTCGATATAAAGTACTAATTAAAAAAAGAGCAATGGTAATAAACCAAATGACTATAAAACAGTTGAAGATAGCGCTGATGTTGGTGAAAATAATGCTAAAGCCAATGAAGTTAATGGTTAATTCAGTAAAGAAAATAGAATAACACTGAAAACAAGACATTACAAGACTCCGCTTCTTTATCTAATAACTATGTTCAACAAATTCTCTTTTAATGACTAAATTCTAAATTTTTAACTACATATAAAAAATTTAGGGAAAATTACATATAAGGGCCCGAAAAATGAAAACAAACTTTTTTGGAATTGGGCAAAAATTAAAAACCCGAATTACTATTTAATTATTACATGATATATACGTCAACCATATGACGCATTTATTAAAATGAACCCCAAAACAGTAAAACTAATATAATTAGCACGGCAAACCCATCTCCTCACCTTAAGATCCATCTCTTTTTACTGTTAAAATTCATCTCTTTTACGTTAAACTCTATCTCTTATAAATATACTTATAGTCAAATGATTTGACTCACGTTAAATATCTATCATAACAACGTCATAAACTT